CAAATGAAAGTGTTTGGTTTAAATGTTTAGTCTGGGTCGTAAAGAAAATTCCCCTAAACGATTTTGCTATAAACGTAGAACTTAGTTTTAAAAAGCTTAAAGTTGTTTTTAAAATATTAATGTTTCAATGATCCATCGGTTTACGTTTCTTTGAAATTATTAAAATAAATAAATTAAAATAAATAGAAAATACAAAAAATCTGGCGATTATCAATTAAAAAAAAATGTACTATAAATTACAAAGATGACTTAAAGGAATAAAAACTTTAAAAAATTAATAAATAATAATTATAATAAAAATTAAAAATAAGTCTTATTTTTCAATTTGTAACTTTTATAAATATTGAAAATAACTCTTATTCTCCAATTTTTGTTATAAAAATTGAAAATAAAACTAAATGGAAATATCTTTTACTGCAAAAATATAAAAACATTTATGATCTCCGAGCAAATACAACATTTTTTTAAATTAGAAAACCTAGAGTCGAAAGCGTTATTTTTGTAACCGTTCCAGTGGCTTCCGCAAAAAAGCCTATATGAAAAAGAAAATATATCTAATTTTGGGTATAGGGTATAGCTGGGGTATAGGGTGTGGTTGGAAAACTCATCGGCCCTCAAAAAATAGAAAAACGCACCGAAAAGTCAGCAAAAATATGCGCGCGTGTTTGTAAGAGCGGGGAAAAAGCGTAGCTGAAAGAATGATTGTTGCAGTTTATGGGAAAAACTCCAACCGAGCTTCAGTTCTCGGCGATGCCTGGGAAAAGTGGCTGGATGTGTGGTGAGGAGAAAGTAGGCGACACTCACGCAGGGATGGAGAAACTAAAAATGCGTCCACTTGCAGTGAAAGCACGAAAAACTCGTTACAAAAACCGTTAGTTTTTCAATTATAGCGCGTAGATTAGTATTTGAAAGCAATGCCTGGTGTCTGTGTGCGTAAATCCCCCTTTCACTTGCTTTCTTTTCTCTCTCTCTCTCTCTCTCTATCTGAGCCATTATTGGATTTTGGCTCGCTACTGGCCATTTTCTGAAGGTGGGGATGAAGACGAAAAAAAAGGGAAAACTTTCCTGACAGCAGCACAATAACTTTTGAATAAGAAAAACGTGCAACGCTTCAGAAAGGAGACGCAGGAAGTGTGGGCGGAATATTCGCATCAGGACCGGACTAAAGAGGTTCGAGGTTGATCCAATACAGTGACAACAAACGACGGAAGAGAACTTTTGCAGCTGCAATTTTCTATTCAACTTGAAGCTTTCTCTCCATCAGGCGAGGGGACAATCAGTTTAGGAAGTTAGCAGTTTTTATGAAATGCCCTCTGCCCCTGCTTCCGCTTATTTTCCCATCCTCTTTTCCGTCTTAACTCCTTCCGTTTTGGGCTTGTGAGAGCTTTTGCTAATTTTACAACGCACATTACGTATACGACGTGGTGGAAGCTGCACATTTTTGCCAGGAATAACAGTCAGCCAGGTGGCTCATAGAGATGCCAAGCTGGGCTTTTTGGTTAGAAAAAAAAACAATTTGAAAATATAATAACAATGTTAAAATGTATATGTACCTCCACAAAATTGAACTTCTTAAATTTACTGAGTTCCTTCCCTTTTTAAAATTGACGAGTATTTTTAAAAATATCGTATTGGTGTTATTTATTTATTTGTGCTCTCCCACAAAGTCCCAAAAGGGTCTTCTAAATTATCGTCGTCTGGAGACTGTACAAGAATTTAATGTGACTAACTCAAAAATATAAAAAACAATATCAATATATAAAAATACCCCTAATATAAAAACATCGATATTTCGATAAATTATCAACAACCCTGCGATGTATCTTGATGTTTTTTTAAGAATTCGATAGTTCCTGCTGAGAGTAATTAACCATACATTTGACATCTCTACTTGCTTGAAACAATAAGTATTCATAACTACTAATAGAAAAAACTAGAAAATAATGGAAGATTTTTTAGGAGAGGAAGAGGAGGCGATCCCGCGAAATAGGAGAATCACCAAGATGAAACGTGCTGATTTGATCGCTGAACTTCGCCACGAGCAAAGAAGAACCCAGGCAATGGTCAAGCGGCGGGACGAGATTAAAGCTGCCCTGCGGCAGTGCAACATACAGCTGACGGACACCAGGCACATTTCGGAGGAGAGGGAGCGGGAATTGGCCAACGAAAGGAATGCCCTGCTGCAGACGCTGCAACAGGAAATGTCCAAAAACGAAATGCTGGGTCAACAAATCCTGGAACAGAATCAATCTAAGAATGCCATTGTGCAGAGCATCCTGCTAGATATCGAAGCCAAGGAGACGCACCTCAACTTGGAGATCGGTGTGATGGCCAATCAGCGGGATGATTTGCACCAGGAAATGCAAGGGGTGAAAGCAGAGCTAAGCAGGATCCACGAGGAGAACAGCTGTTCGATTTGCCTCTCGCCCTGGGAGGCCGAAGGCCCTCATCGCATTGTGTCCCTGAAGTGCGGCCATCTTTTCGGGGACTGCTGCATCCGCCAGCACCTGGTTCACAGGACAGACTGCGGCCTCTGCAAGCAGCCAGTGAGTCATCAGGATCTCCGCTATCTCTTCGGCTTCCCTGTCCTGGTGGCTACCCAGCCTGCTCCGTTGGGACAAGCTGCTCCTTGATCCTTTGATCCTTTGATCATAACCATAAACTATTTGTTTTAAAGGTATGAAAATATTCACTTTGATATTCAAGCGGCTAGAAGAGCTCGGTTAGCGCTTCATCCTGTTCTGGATCACAGGAAAGACTGCGGCATCTGCAAGCAGCCAGTGAGTCATCAGGATCTCCGCTATCTCTTCGGCTTCCCTATCAAGCTGCTCCTTGATCCTTTGATCCTTTGATCAAAGGATCAAAGGATCAAGGAGCAGCTTGTCCCAACGGAGCAGGCTGGGTAGCCACCAGGACAGGGAAGCCGAAGAGATAGCGGAGATCCTGATGACTCTCTGGCTGCTTGCAGATGCCGCAGTCTTTCCTGTGACCCAGAACAGGCTGAAGCGCTAATCGAGCTCTTCTAGCCGCTTGAATATCAAAGTGAATATTTTCATACCTTTAAAAGAAATAGTTTATGGTTATTGTATACTTTTCTTGAAAATTCAAAAGTACAGCTTAAGTTTTATTGTTTATTATTAAACATGTTATGGTTTTTTTTATCATAAGCTGATATAGCCCAGGGAATATATTTTCTAAACAGTAATAACTTATCAAATTGTGAAGAGAACGGAAAATAATGGTATAAAACCAATGACAAAAGCCAGAATTATGTGAACGCCTTGAAAAAATCGTCATCGACAAACGCGAAAGCAAAAAAGAACTGCTGTGACTACAAAGACTCGTGAAAGGCTTCTCCATTCGCACGCCGGCACTCAGTATATCACATTGCCATCTCTGAATTCCCGGCCAAGCCATCGCCTTGATTTTCTTTTATGGGTTTTCATTGTTGGCCAGGTCCGCGAGCAATCCCCTTTTGTAGCGTCTTTAGCGCTGCAGCAGCGTCGTTTTATTGTTGAATGAACGGACTTACGTGTGAACTAGTAGGCGACAACAACTTATGCCATTTCCGTTTCCGCTCGCATCGCCATTCAGCGCAAAAGGCAGGAATGGCAATGGAAATAGTGGCTGAGGCAGAGCAGCCAAGAAACAGGAACACAATTGTGAGGTCATGTATGTGACAAACAATAAAGACGATAACTTAGTGCATGCAACACAACGGGGCGGAAACGGAACTGCAACTGCAACTGCCTTGCCTTTCCAAGGATTCCTGCGTAGGTGTGAGGTGTGTGTGTGTGTGTTGGTGTGTGCTTGTTGTTGTTGCTTAAAAAATAGAATTAAGTTTTTCGTAAACTTGGACTTAATGCGCCCCTTTCTGGCTTTGCTTGGTTTGAAAGTTTGAAAATATATATTTGAAAAGCAAAGTTTATGCTCGTGTTGAAAGAAAATATGTCTGGCGTCTTTTGTATACACACAAGGTGTCCCGCCGGCAGCACAAGGCACATAGCACCAGCTGCCAGTTGCATGGGTTGCAGGGTTCTGGTCCTGGTCCTGGAAGTCCTGGAGGTCCTGCGACGGCAGTACCACGGAAAGTTTTGTTTGCCCTGACACTTAAAAAGTCGTAAAATGCACATTCAGCATAAAAACCACTGTTGGAAATTATGGCCACACTGCATAGTATACCCCCCCAATACCCATATTCTATTGCCCATCCCATCTTTGCCATCCACTGTTGCCTTTTGTATCATATTTTCCAGTTTGAAGTTGCCCGAGCTGCGGCTGCTTTTATCTTTAATGCATTCTACGTGCAGCATTCGCACTCGCAGGACATACATATAGTACGATGGAGTTGGGGCGTATGCCTCTGCTCCGTGTTTATTGAATGAAAAGTTAAAACAATTCACTTGGCACTGATTTTAAATTGGGATTTATGACTTTGCCGAGAGAGTATTGAAAGAAATTTATAAATTAATATAATCACTTGTGCTACTGCAAGAAATGCGATCACATTATACAGTTTATTAACATGATAATCTAGGATATGGTATCAAAAGGAGTTGTTTTTGTGATTTTATTTTAAAAGGAATACTACGATTTTAGATTTTTAAAGTCATAAATAACGCTATTTTTACTCTTAACCACGAAGTATAGTAATCAATTAATACTATATATACGCTTAACTAAAAAGTGTTTAAACATCAGCCTACTTGGTTAAAAAAAGAAATAAAATAATAATAATTATACAAAAAAAGATTCAAAACATATTTATACATACATATGTAGAATCATCTTTCCATTACTCATAACATTATTTCAGAAAAACAACAATTTGATACATTTATAAAAGATTATAAGATAATGGTACATATTTCTGGGATTGATGCATTTCACAGAATTTTGAGCAATTAAAAATAAAATAAAACCGAACGTTTTTCTTTAATTCTACTGATAAGCTTATCGCTGTTTGTATATTTATATATATTTACTCAGAGGCTGGCAGTTCTTAAGTATACCCCAACTGAGTATAATCGAAACGGAATGTCTACCACTTCGGTGATTTTGCTGAGCTTCTTTGTGAGTGCCACCGTGGCCTTAGTCTTTCCAGAACAAGATTGCCCCGAATACTTTACGTATGGCATGGAAAAAAACGGGAGTTATATAGGTGTTTTCACGGCGAATGAAGCAGGCCATAATGTACTGCAATTTAATGCGACATTTGCGTGGAAAAAAGTTAGTGGAAAACAAAGACATATCATAATGCATATATATAAAAATAAATAATAAATTGTCTTCTGATTTAGTTTAATTATCCTCTGATATCGGATATGGAGGCGTATCCCAGCTATGGTGAAGCCATCGCAAATATTAACAAGGGACGTCTCGGCCAGACTTTTGTTCGATTCATAAATATTGGTGATACGCTGCCCACACTTACTAAATTCTACCTTAACAATGAGTTACTGTGCAACTCAACAATAAGTGAGTACAACTTAAGATTCATATATAAATTAGTGAATTTATTTTGACATTCTATTTGCAGAAAATGCTTGGAAGCGGCATTATACGAAAACAGCTTCATTTACATTAACCACCCTAGAAAATATACGAAAAGTCAAGAACACTCGGCCGAAAATGCATCCAAGCTTACCGGTAATAAAACCCAGAGTATTTATATAATTTACTTACATCACAAATTAAAGTTTTATAAACATTCGAATAAAATTGAATTTTTGAAAAAAAATTGAGTTAATTAGAAGATGTTGTATTCATAACTTGTATACCCTGCATAGCATATGACAATTTTCAATTAAAAGTACAACAACGTTTTTAAATGTAAGAATAAAAAACAAAAAACCGCTTTAGAAACCAGATAAGCATGAAAAAGACTTTCCGTTCATGAGAAAGTTAAGGACAGTCAGCCAAGGGGAAGATGGCCAAAAACAAGATGTACCAGAACCGCAAAAGGAAAAGAACCAACTAAGAAACACAGAGCAGGCCACTAGGAAACCACCTACTTTGTATCAACAGATAAAAGTAAAGTTTTTCAACATCATTTACTCAGAACCAGAATCGTAGCCGCCGTGGAGTTGGAGTCTCACTTAATTCCTTGCTCGAGAGGTGAATTTCCCCGGAAAACCTAAAACAAAATACATAAAAGTGTCTTCTTAATTCTTTTTGGGGTGGAAGCTTCCCTCGACTGCGGTTAAAAATGTTGTAGAGAAGTACAACCTGTTGTCGGAGTTCAACTGGCAGCGGAAACTTTTTTAATACGTTACGAAACCTCGGCTGCCCCCTGCTGCTCCGTTTATCACCCTCCTCCGAACTTGTTTCACTTCGGGCTCCATTAAGGTAACGAAAACTTTACTTTCGACTGCTGTCTAACGGTAATGATGGGGCATAAACCATGATTGAAAGGTGCAGACATACCTCCCTCCCTTTTTTTGTGGGGTGTATAAATATTTTGCCCGCGGGTCAATGTTTCCCGCTTCCTTCCTCACTTACCGTCCATTCCGCGCTTGTTATTGTTATTACGCCCGATATTAGCAGGACATTATTGAAATTATTTACCTTTCCATCCCGCCCAACCACGTTCTATGGCTCCCCGGCTCTTGGTTTCGTCCCCCAACTGCCGTCGAAAAAGTTGCATAAATTGTTTTGTTATTAATCCCAGGCCGGGCCATTGAGCGCTGAAACGACTGACAGGTGTTTAAATTTCAAAACTTTTAATGGCAGCGGCAGCCACAGCAATGATTATTATTATTATAATTATAATGGATAACAATAAGTTTTGATTGGATGATTATTAAAATAACTTAGGGAGAGGAAATCAATGGGAAATTAAGCTAAAATGCGTAGACAACGTGACACAATAGACTCAATCAAGGGAATATAATTGGCTTAAAGTAAATAAATTTATACTTAATTGACAAGATTTGGCATTTGCAAAATAAAAAGTCAAGCAAATGAAAATATGCTTTCATTAATGATATAGAATATTTTAGTGGACTCAACTGCAGAGAAAAAACTTATGCTAATACGTTCGCACTAAAAATAATGTGACCAAATGAATGAAATTAATAATGAATGAAGTAATGAAGTATGTCACCACACTTTTTTACTATACTTAGAGAATAGTTCTTAAGATTATACAATTTCCTTGAATTCGTATACATATAATTTGTTCACAGAGAAACTTCTAACGTTCTCATCTGAGTTGAAATGTTCTTAAAAATATAACAACATTTCTGAAGTTGAAAATGTTTTCATTTTGCTCGAATCAAGTTGAATTGGCGGTATTTACATTGTATATTTCAACAAATAAAATATTAGTTCAGTCCGTAGTGTATACTTATCAAAAAATTGTTAATTAATCTCAATTTTACTTTTCTCTTACCATTTCGTTCTAGTATTGAGAACATTAATACCAAAATGTACTTACACGGTTTTTGAGAACGAATGTTCTCAATTCAAGAACAATGTTCTTGGATATTTCTCTCTGTGTTATTATAAGCTTATAAACTACCTTAAAAACTTCAAATTAATCAGTAATTTCTCTTTCAAAACTCTTAATTTCTTTAGGGCGTGCAATTAATAATTTTCATTTGTCACCGGGCTCTGTGCCCCTTTCTCACTATCAACTTTCAATGGACTCCTTAAGCTGCCCCTATCAACGCCTGGCACATTGTCAATTTGTCAAGTTCTCAGTGTCTTGTCCACACATTCTCGCTTTCTAGGGCTCAGGCCATAGTCATTTCTACTGCCATTCCTACTACCATTCCCATTCCCGGTCTCATAATCGCACTCATCTGGGGGTTGAGTGGGAGTCAACTATCAACTATCAAGTTAGAGCCCGAAAGGGAGCCTCGGTCACTTGCCACAAAGACCGGGAACATATTGTAGCACGATTTTTAAAATAAAATTAACTTGAATTTGCTCTCTCTGTGTGCTGGCGGACTGAAAGAAAGGCTGTCCCCTTTGGCATGTTGTCCTTGGCTGTCCTGTCACACAATCACCCGCAGACAGAAGCACAATGTGGAGAAAAGTTCTCCTTCGGCGGAGAAAGAAAAGTGCAAAAAGCCAAGTCAGTAAGTAGCAAAGAATTTTCAACACAAGAAAACTCACGTATATGTAGGTTTTCTATATATATATAAATATATAAAAGCCACCGCAATAGACTGTCTGTTGGGTGAAAAGAGGAAAAAATATGCCACAAATGCAACATAACTTTGCAGCTTATTATTTTTTATTGCAGCTAATAAGCTTGACTTGCCAGTTAATGGCGCATTTCCGTTTCCGTTCACCGACACACACACACCCACACACATTTCGAGGGGAAAACCTGTCGCAAAGTTTATAATGAAAATATTTTCAGCTTAGCAACGGGCAAAGAAAGTCCGGAAAACAGGAAAGCGGCAAATGGCTACTTGTTGTTGTTGAAAACTCTCACAAAACTGTCAAAACCAAAAACCCTTGACACACCCTAATACACACATTCGCTTAAAACCATTTAGCTTTTTGTCTTTCCATTCTTGAGCTTATTAAAGTAACATTTTTTAGACACTTTTCATTTATTTTATTTGTCCATATTTCCTTATTGAAACTTTTTAGACCGGACAATGGACAATTTTCCTTCCGACCACACCGCCCATTCTGCCTGGTTTTCCTTAGCCTTCACAGGACTTGTCTTATCCCAGCAAAATGGCCTCATTTGCTTGGAGTGAAAAGGACATGGAGACCAGTCAAGCATTCTATTGTTGTCTTAGTGCCTCCTGCTCATTGCAGCCATTTGGTTATTGTTGTGGCTGGAAATGTATTTTGTAGCTCATTTGTGTGTTTGGCCGGAAGTTGTAACTGTGCACAGGATACGTTGAGTGCCCCGATTTCACACGAGAATGGCCGGAGCTACAACATTCGTGCCGGACATTCACGGGCAAGTTGCAAACATTACATTCGGACCTGGATTTTTAATGTTTCTGCTTTCAGGACAATTGCTTGTGGGGGCGGTGGCCTAATTGACCGCAGTTTTCTACAAGTAGATAATCCATTTTACAGAATTACTTTTATTTGAAGTAATGATGCCAGTTTTGAAGAATATTATAAATAGAAGAAGGCACTGCTTTCCTGAGAGTTTAGGATCATGTATAAAGTAATAAATAACCTAAGATAATAAAAAACAGGACCTGAAAATATATTTCTTGAATTTTTCAATATCAATGATGATTTAAACCGATCTAGGTCAATAATAATTTTTATATTTATAAAAATCTTCAGACTTTATACTAAATTCAAATTAAAGAGAATGACATAAAATTCTAAATTTAATATGAATTTTAAAAATTTGAAATTTTATTTAGGTATATATTTATTGTTATAATTAAAAAGACATGTAATCACTTTGCGCCGGTTTTTACTTGATTTAAAGCTTTTCCAAACCTTATAGAAAATCCACTGAGCAATATTTTTGGGTAAATCCGATTTAGCGAAGTTCGGAAACAAATCCAAATATATAAAAAAGCTGCTTAAAAAATTTGTAGACCAAGCAAAATTCAAGCGATAGTGAATTGTATTTAAAAAAATTAAAAGTTCAAAAAGTTCCCACCACAAATTTCTTAGAATGTTCTCAAAAAATTATGAAGTACTTTAATTCCACGATAATTTTTTTAAATTTTATAAGTACAACGGCAATAAAACTATTCACCACTATATCCCCTTTATACATGTATCATATTTCAGGGCTTACAAGAATTTCAATTTATTTTTTATTCGATAAAGATCAATTTTTACACATCAATAAAAAACATATTGATTTTTTCTTTCGCCTCTGGCACTTGCATTAACTTTTCACACAATTGAAAAAATGTCAGACGAAATGAGAGAAACTTTTGTTACCTTCTTATTATTTTTGTTTTGTTCATTTTTATTTTTTTGAATATTTTTATACGTTACGAGTATAATAAACATCAATATGATGGGAACAGCAGACATAAGGCATCTGGTTCTTGCCTTCAATAAAGAAGGGGCGACAAACAAACAGAAAGCCGAGCTGACAAAAGTTTGCGCAAAAATCATAAAGTGCAGGCAAAAGTTTCTGGGCAGCGCTCGTAAAGTCGTAAACCAGAAAACCGGAGGGGGATACCGAAATGGGGGGTTAGTGGGATTCGGAACTTGGGAAACCGGGATCCAGGGTCCTAAGAAATCGACCACCATCAATTCGAAAATGGCGTAAAAGTAGCAGCGATTTGTTTGCATGCTGTAGCTGAAGCCATTGTGGTTATATCAAGCATCCTCGGTGCATTTGGCCAGTTTTTGCCTTTTGCCCACTTTGCATTTTATCTTTATTTGCATTGCGGCTAACCAGCGACAAGCATTCTTGTGGCCGGACATGTCGAGTGGTTTTTGTTTTGAAGAAAACTTTCTTTTTCCGTTCGGGGGGGCCTTTGGATAGCTGCCAGCGCAGTGCAAGTGTCAAAGATTCTTTGGGAGCATTGGTGCGTTCTGAACATCCAACATAATGTTTGTTATAAATTAAAGCTGCGGTCGTGTCTGCAGGGGCATGAACTTTTATCAGCGACACAGATTTGTGGGCCATAACTTGTGATGCTCAGCACACACACACATTCTCACTCAGAGGATGCCCCTGTTTCCGCTTAGAAAATGGGTTTTCTTTTCAATTGCGAATTTTCATAAATTGTTATCTCTTTAAATTGGCTCTTAATTGGTCGACAGGGGCCCCGTGCAATTATTGTGTTTAATTATTCGGGACTATTAAGTGAAAGATTAATGAGCCTGGGGTTTTTGCGGTGGCATAATATTGTTGTTGTCTATTATTTATGGCCAGCAGTGTGGGGTACATTTACACAATAATTACCCAGCTATAGCGTGCTCTTAATTGTTCGATTTCAAACTAAAGTTAATCCTTAACTGCAACATAAGTTCTGGTCAACGAGCAAAACGTATTATTGAATGGGCGATAAATTACCAGGGAGTAAAAGCATAAATACAGATGGTAAAGTTTGGAGAAACTTTAAGAACGCCAGGACACGGTGTTCTTGGGGTCCTCGGAGTCCTGGTGATAGAACGCACAGGCAATAACAATTTATATGGCCGAGGGTGACATTTCAACATGGCCAGGACACGTTCTGGAAGTTGGATCGAGCTTAGGACCAGTAGTATCATTCAAAAAGGTGCTACAACCTTGGGGCGGACAGGAGAGCATTTAGAAATTAATGATAATTGACACAATAAGCGACAAGTTGAGCCCGAGTCCTGGTAGCAGATAGCAGATCCCGGGGAAGGGCAGCTGGGCCTGGACTTTCTCCGGCCCGTGGGATAATAGTCAATGACATTAGAAGCCAATAAATAAAAGCGAATGAAAACAAACAGCGTGCAGCCCAGCAAAACGTGCAGACAGCTGCCCTTGGGTATACAAATACATACGGAGAAAATTCCTATAATTAAAATAAGTATGGAAATATATTAATGTTCAGTTTAACTGGTTAAAATAATATAGGTAAACATGTTTCAGAACAAAAATACTGATAATTCACTTTGTTTTTTACTTTAACATAACCAAATTCTAACAATATTTATTTTCTCTATTGCAAAAAATAATTAAAGGAAACCTAATACACTAAAGATTTGCGAGGGCGTCAAACACATTTAACGCTTAATTACATTGAGGCCGAGAGGCAATCGTGTGAACAACCGCACACAAATTTCCACTTCCTAATTAAGCGGAAAAATTAACAGCCCTTCTCCGAAAAACGGCCCAAAAACCCACACCACTTATTGCGCTTTGGCAATCAAAGCCACTGACAGAAACTATAAAATTTCAGGGCTCACGTATGCCGCTCACTTTCGCATTTATGGAAATAATTAAAACTGATTTGGCGCCTTAGCTTTTGGCCACAACCATCAGTACCGCCCCCTCAATTAAGTTGCACGACTTTGTCATTCAATTAACCATTGCACTGCCAATAAGTGAGTGGCACATAAAATGGGAGAAAATGAGAACGTGACCGCGTCCCAAAGTGTGATAATGTACTGTGATTGCTATCCTTGAGAAAAGTAAAACATTCAGGGAATTTCTTATTTAAATACCTATTCGTTTTGACTGCGGTAATTAACAGCATTTAAACATTATATAGTAGTTGCCTAAGGAGGTAGTGAGTGCCAGGGAAATAAGTCTTAAATACATAAAATAGAATACCACTAAATAAGAATCGAACCTAATATTTTCATATTTATGTACATGAATTGCAAGCAATTAAAAAGAAGACCTGGAACTATTTGTAAAAACTTATATAGTCATAAAAAACATATATATGTGGGTATTAAATTAGAAATATCTATATCACAAATGTGTTAACTATTGTAAGCCAAATTCCTGGCTTTGGTATACACAGTCTTAAAAATATTTAATAAAATATATATGAAATTTCAACCTCTTAAGTTCAGTTAAAAATCAGAACTTAATCTGTTCTTTGAAATATTTATTGATTTGTCTAAACACTTACAAACATTCTATCGATCGAAAGTGCGACCTGGGATTTAGAAAATATGAAGCCATTTCCACAAGTGACATTTTAGAGACCCCGTAGCTTCCCTTGGGTAAAATCCCTTCGAAATTGCGGCATCTACAGGCGATTTTTGGCCAGGAAAATGGTAGCTTCAACTTTTCGGCTCAGCCTGGGCAGCTGCTTTGTTTTTAGAAGCTTATGTGCTCATATTTTGCATGCCCAGAACTCGGGGAAAGGGGTGGATGTGGACAGGGAAGCCGGAATGGATTCTGGAATTTGTGGCTAAGCTTCGATTCGTTACAATTGGCCAATATTTCGGCTTTGTGCTGTGAAACAATGTGGCCTAGAAGTTTGGCAGGCGATTTTTGATTTTAGCGGGCCAAAGTCAAACGAATTCCCTTATGTACAAGTTTGCCCCCCTCTATGCCTGTGTTCCCATTCTACTCTCAATCTTTCCATACTTTCTTTTGTGCCCGTGCTTGCTGATGCGAAGGAAACCGGAAATGAAAGTTTTGGCAATTGAATTATGGATATAAAATTGCGCTTGACTTTCGCCGGTCCAGGGAGACGATAGTTTTACTTGCTCTCCCCGGTTCAATTTTGTGTTCGTTTGATTGTTTCACCCATGATGGGTCTTGCAGGAAAGGTCAGAGTTGGCCTTGGATCATTCCAAACGTCAACCCGTACTCGATCGAAATCCCCAAGTTATTTCACTCTCAGAAACACTGGCGAAATATTTCTAGTGGCCGCTAGCCACTTGGTATGGGAAGATATTTGGCGCGTCTGCCCAGCGTGAGTGGTAGAAGTTCCTTCGCATTTTCCATAACCGCGTTCAAAAATCTACCCAAGCGAGTCAGCGGAGTACTCAGTTTCGGACACATCATGACAGAGGTAAGGGTTTATATATAAGCACGGAAAGTGTCTTTCAGAGACTGAAAAGTATTGAAGCCATGAAGGCTAAAGTTCCATTAAGTTTTCTTAAAATGATTAATAGAGCTTGCGGGTTACTCTTTGCTAACATTTAACCTCAATAAAATTATACAAGGGATAATTAAAATTTTATATTTTTATGTATGGATATGACCAACAATAAACTATGGATAAGATTCTACTCAACGGTTATTTTAAAACGCCATCTGTCTTCAGCGTATATGTACCTTGAAATACATTTTACATGTAAAAACTAAGGTTATGCTATAGGGTTTTCAAAACCTTTTTATTCCTTCTACACGTAAAATCAAAGGACAAAGGCATATCCGTTTCCGTATCGATAATTATTATCTTGGTACTCGATATTTATGCAAATATCGATAAAGATCTCTGGATAAAATTAATGTATTGGAAATTTCAAACGATGCCCACCGTTCATAGTACAAAGCATTTTCATTTAAAATATGTAAAAACATTTAATAATCATTGTTTTAATAATATTCTTACCACCTGAACTCTCGATACTCCTTTGCGTAACCACTTTTTCGCCCCATGACGAACTGTTCGACGCATTCAAGTTTTGAATTTTTCACCCGCTTGATTTGAATTAAGTTTAATCGCTATCATCGGAGGAAATCTCTTGAGCCTCCTCCGCCCCGGCATTTTCCTCCCTTGCTCCGAGTTCATCCTCATCGCTATCAGAGTTTTCCATTGGATTCGTTTTGAGACGAGCTATAAGCTCCTTGGCGGGATTGAAAATGCCATTTGTTTGCTGGGAGCAGATGATGCAACGTTGTGACTTTTTGTACTGGGCCAGGGCGCACATTTCACAGAAATAGTGTTTGCACCTGTGAAGAAAGTAAGGGTATTTGTCAGTAAATTAAAGACACAAGTCTTCCTGATAATTAAGAACAATTTATACTCTTCCTACTCACTTCGTCACCACGGGATTGACGAAACTTTGGCGGCAGATATGGCACTTGAAAGGCAGCGACTCCTCGTCCGAGTGGATCTCGTACTTGCCATCATCGCCATCGGAATCGGCATCTCCCCTCCGTTGACTCTCGTGATCCATTTCCATTTGCCAACCTGCCTTGTAGTCACTGCGATCGTGCAGAAACTTGCAGCTGTCGCCAAAGCCGCAGTATCCCGTCTCCTTGTAATCTTTGCAGATATCCGGCTGGTAATCCCACCTCACAGTGGCTCTGAGATGAGCGGGTGCCCTAATGGGCCCACTTCGCACCATTCCAGAGCTGGCATTGCCTGCCGCCGTGTCCTGCTTTTTATAGTACTGCGCATAGTTGTTGATTCCTCTGTAGATCTTATCGTCCGCCTTGCCCTCCAGTTCCTCGTTGATTTTCAGTGCTCGCGCATGGATTGCCTGGGCATCACGATCCAGTTCTGTGTCCATTTCGTTGATGGACGTGGCACCCTGATCCTGTGGTCCACTGGGTATAGCCTCGCGCTTGGACTTGTAGGCGATGCCCAGTTTATCATCGTCGGAGGATGTTGCTTCTTCTTCAGGTGCTCCAGCCTGACGCTTTGCCTTGTTCAGTGTTTTGGTGCTTTGGAAGTTAGGATTCGTGCGCTTTCTGCGGTTTTCTGCCCTTACTAAAGCACTGGTCTTGCCTTGGGCCTCCTCATCACTGCTTTTTGCTGGAATATGTCGAATTATTAACCAATTTTCCTTTTTGGCGGTAAAATTTGTTAGCTCACCTGACTCGTTGCTGCTGCTTTCCTTTTTGCGGCGAATGCCGGCTCCCTTTTTAATATTCCGCTTTTTAAAGCCAAAGGCCGAGGTACTAGCCGCCTCTTCCGACATTCTCCGGCTTTAAAGGAGGTGTACTTTTCTATTAAATTAAGCTAAAAACAATAAACAATCTATTTCGCCAATTGGTCATCTGCTTCTTCTTCTAGTCAAGGAACTAGAGATGGTAGCTTTATAACAATCGGTATTAATGTTAGTATTTTTGTGACGGTTGCGGGCACACTGAAATACTATTTGGCGGGTGGCTTCAAAAAATAACGAAGTGTTTATTTTTTAAAATATATGATTTCCCAGAGTCTATAAAACTAATTAATTTAAATACTTCACGAACACATGCTAGACCCATGCTCAGTAATTACACAAGACAAACAACAATATCCTTAAAAATCGGAAAGCCACCCACAACCTTAAGTACGCAACGTCAAAAAATAAAGAAACAAATGTAAAGGTATAAAATCTAAAGTAAAAAAATTGTTTAACTAAGTTTACTTACTAAAAATAATACAACCATATGTTAATTTTGGTTTTGGAAACTTTGTTATCATTTTAAACATATAAATATACATATAGTTTAGTCCTAGGAGTGGTCCATTAGTTACCATTGTTGGTCTCAAATACTCGAAACTCCAGGAATCAGAATTTAAATAGCTTTGGCATAAAAAAACCTATAAAATGTTTTTCAAAAACTACTACTATCGATAGATTAAAAATTGTTTTGAAAGCTCCACCTATCTAGCATTATTTGGCGCTCCGTGAACGGTCACTCTATTTATTATCGTTTATTTTTAGAAACAGAAACACGTAAATTTAGCAGTTTTATTAAAAATTCCTGTGTTATTGCCAAACGCTCATAATTTTTATCCCGCAGAACATGACGCTCGAACAGGTATCCAGCTCCAAGTGCTTCGAGGGCGAGCAGCGCGTGTATCGCCACCGGTCCGGCACTTTGGATTGCGACATGACCTTTGGCGTCTTCCTGCCACCGGCAGCTCTGGAAGGCAAACCATGCCCGGTGCTCTTCTTCCTCAGCGGACTGACGTGCAGCCACGAGAACTTCATCCAGAAGAGCGGCTTCCAGCAGCACGCCGCCCGTCACAATCTGATCGTCGTCAATCCGGACACTTCCCCCAGGGGCGTGGAGATCGCTGGGCAGGATGACGCCTACGACTTTGGCAGCGGCGCTGGTTTCTATGTGGATGCCAAGCAGGAGCCGTGGTCCAAGCACTACAAGATGTACAGCTATGTGACCCAGGAGCTGGTGGATGTGGTCAATGCCAATCTGTCCGTGGTTCCCGGCAAGCGGGGAATCTTTGGCCACAGTATGGGCGGCCACGGAGCCCTGATCTGCGCTCTGAAGAATCCCGGGTTGTACCAGTCGGTTTCGGCCTTTGCCCCGATAGCTAATCCCACCGAGTGCCCATGGGGCCAGAAGGCCCTCGCAGGTTACCTGGGACCCAATAAGGCTGATTGGGCCTTGTGGGATGCAACGCATTTGGTTTCGCAGTACGAGAGTACGCCGCAGGAGCTCTTCATCGACCAAGGAGTAGCGGACAACTTCCTGGCAGGCAAGCAGCTGCTTCCGGAGAACCTTCTGGCCGCCGCCGATGGCAACGACCACATTCAGACCATCTTCAAGCAGCGCGAGGGCTACGACCACAGCTACTTCTACATCGCCACCTTCGTCGCAGATCACATCGCCTACCACGCCGCCCTGCTCACAGCCTGAATGTATCCTTGATGGCGCTTCTGCTTATTCGTTTCCATCGGTTTGTATTGTACTAACACTCTAGTTTAGAGATAAATCGCAAGTAAATAAACCAAACGTCTCGGTGTTTCTGAAATGTGTATTTCGTAGAGAAATATTTCGTGTTATGTATATCCGTGGTCTTGAAAATAAAATACTTATAAACAGGTATCGTAAGTATCATATAGTATTCTTTTAAGGTTTATCAATGATTACAAAAATTTAAGGCTTACACATTTTAATTTTCCCATTTATTTCTTTAAGATTATACAAAAATTTTTACTTTATTTATAAAAGAAAAAAATCTTGCTTTTACAAAAAATTGCTGAATAGATTTTTGTTTAAAAAAACAAGATGAGAAATAAGTGTATCATGGGTGTATGCGTATATTTTCAAAAAACGAAGTTGTGTCCATTTTCCTGACCATTTTTATATCGTTCAAATGAGTTTTTTTTTAAAAAAACCTAAACTTGTAACTTTGGGTTCATCAAAAATTTCCACATTTCTATTAAGTTATTCTTTTTTCTATTCATTGTATTTTAATTTTAATTTTGCTATATCATGAAGTGGTCGAATCCAGCTAGGATATGCTAAAAAATAAGATTCTTCAGTAGTAGGTATCGCCAATTCGTCGAATCGCATAGGATATTGTCTTCAGCCCGGACTAATGGTTAGGGTAAAAGCTCACATCGTAGTAAAAGCTCTCCGGCTGTTGGTCCACGGCATGCTGGGAACTTTCCGCATCCTGGCATCCTTCGCTGGGTTCATTCATCAGTAGAACAAACGCCGTCAGATGGGACAGAAGTGCTAGTGCCACAGAGGGAACCGAACCGAACGGAGGCTCTAAAAGGCGACATCCTCGACTCGTTTGGCGCCATATTTACTCGGACCAATTGGAGACGGCCACTCCGTATTTACGTGACTGCGTGTGTGCTCGAGATAGTCCGGTTTTTTTGGTTCCCCCGTCTGTTTGTGTAATTTCGCGCGCTTTTGTGTCGCCCGCTGGCCGGACATCTTATATACCAAAGGGTCGGGAAATAGGGCTCCAAAAAAAAGGGATTTGAAAAGGCGTGAGATTTGCGGCAGACTGCTGGACCACTGCCAGCGGACTGAAATCTTAATTAGCCATTTAATGGCAGTTGGCAGACAACAAAGCCTGATGGTAAGCCCCCCCAGCCATATGGCCAATATAAATCAATTATAGACCGCGATAGATCTTGGCAGTCTGTCAACCACCCAGGTGTGTTCGGAATTGGAACCACTTTTACTTATTTTTATGGCCAACTGTAAGGCTTGCTTTATGACCGCCGTTTTACTGCATGCTGGCATTTTTACACTTCCATCAGCACTCCATTTTTCACAGTTCAGAGTCAAGTTCACGCTCTGCCTCCCACTCACCATCCATCAAGTTTGTCGATTCCTCCACGGGTCCTGGGCTTTAAACTTATATAAAGTATTTAAGCCTTGTTTTTGCTGGCCATCATTTGCATATTATGATTTAGCTATTGAATTTTATGGTTTTATTATCAAATGAGACTTTGGAAAAGTGCTTTCGGGTCTTCTTTAGATTGTTTTTCAACTCATTATGAATTGTCTTTTATTTCATGTTTAAATATTCGGCATTATTATGCTGGAAAAAACGGTTTGGTTTCTTATTACAAAGCCTTGTTTAAATTTTAAACAATTTATTGTACTTTCGGTTGGTGGGGTTTCAATGTCAAACAGTCATGAACTTGATATTTCAAAAGAGGTTTCAAAAATGTTCTTGGCAGTTACGAAAAGGTTTCTTTCTTGACTGCTTCGCGATTACAAAGAATTTTCCAGACTTCTTTGGTACATCAAACGTCAAAATGTTCAGGCAAAGCCAATTAGGTTCTACGCTAGTTCTTTGTTCTTTGTTAAATTTATAAAGCTAAGATAAAAAAGGAACACCTAAGGAAATATATAAAATTCCGATTTAACTTTACTTTGCAAGAAGTAAAAATTAAACCTTACACGCATTTAAAGTGCTGTAAGTACAGGTTAATAAATAAAATCTTGCACGCGTTGGATTCTCCCATAAAATACTTGCATTAAAGAACCATATTTCATATCTTAAACGACCATAAAAATATGAACTCGAGCAACTTAATCATCGTGTTATAAAAACTTTTTTGCCTAACGTTTTTTGTAAGTATATTAACAGAGTTTCAGATTTATTCACACACATGGATATGACACGTTTCTTGATTGACACACCCAGAGAAAAAAGAACGAAAAAAATTAAGAACATTTTTCATGAAATGCGAACAATCCGTTCTCCATTTTTAGTTCTCACATTTCGAACGTTTGTTCATGAAAATCTAACGGTGTTGGTAACAATTTCTACCGACGAACAACTTGGTTCCAAATTGCGAAAAATGTTCTCAGATTTCGAACGCCGTTCAGAAAAAGCTGCGATAGACGCGTTAAAGTCTATCGAAATCGATAATTTTTCGAGACTTGGTTGATGTTTGTTTATTGCAACAATATGTAGGTCTAGGTCCCGATTTTCCGCACTCGAAACATTCGCTCGGTGGTCCAGCTGCTAGAGCGTCCGCCTTCGACACATGGTAGCACAGGTTCGAGTCCGCGAGAAGACGGTTGTGAATTGTAAGTTTTATTAAAAGATTATTTCTAATGTTTATATGTACTTCCATTAATAAATAAATTCTTTGTTTTCAGCAAAATATCCAAAATACATTGAATTCTAGCAATAACACAAAACACAAGGTGGGAAATTAAATAAATCCCTACCAGGCGTCCAGAAAGTCTAGCGTTGTACACAAACCTAATTTTTTTTTTTAGATTTTTATGTTCTCAGGTTAAGCCCGAAATGTTCTTAAACTGACACCATTCGTTCGGAACCCGACCCTAAAGTTTCGGTCACATTTTACGAACGACCGTTCATGAACTGTCAACAAACGGGCTCACGCACTTTTTGACAACGTTTGATCTTGATTTTTGAACGTTTCGAACGGATTTTTTTCTGGGTGCATTTAAAAAATAAAACACAATAGAAATTGCAATCGTGAAAATTGTATACGTGACTTGCCTGGAATTCTAAATTTCTACCGCACAAATCAATTCTGCATCAGGACGTCCATTTCATTTAAGAATATATGTTAATACTGGGACTTTAATAACTGTTTCCTGGCGTATTAAAACTTTAACTTTTCTAATAAAAACGCACTTTAAAGTTGGCATAAAACGGCCATAAAAAACAGACTGTTCACGGTGGCTTTGCTCTTAAAAATTTGCATTAAAAACCTATATTTCACAATTTTTCCGACCATTATAAACTTGAGAAAACACCACGTATTGTGCTAACATAAAACAGCTTTTAACCATTAATCGTTTTCTAGTTAAATCTTTTATTAGCATATCCCCTGCTCACTTTATGCAGACAAGTTCTCGCTCAAAGTGGAGCACTATATAAAATGCAACCGACTTGTGCAATATTTCCATTTATATAGTGCTTACCGGTGCTCAAGGCACTCAAACGACTTTATATTTTTCAATTTTTCAAGGAAAGCCACAGCGAAAGCCGGCTAAGATATAGCGTCGATTTTCTTTCCACCTTCTTGCAGTTTGAAGAGCAGATGCTGGGAAGTTTGGTTAAAGGCGTGTTGGCTCAAGTTTGTGGCCCGCACATGTGCAATTAATAAACATCGTGGTCGGAAAGTTTTCCCCAGTCTAATTACAGGTAAGCCTGTTCGACCATCATTCCAAATCCCTTGAGGATCAAAATATTGTGTACTGAGGTGGCCAAATGCGATAGGTAAATCAAAGTGTTTACCTGTGCAGTTGAAGGGGAAAAGCAGATTTGTTTGGCAAGACGTTCCGAGGGAAAATTCCAATAAAGTGAACGGAAAATCAATAAAATTCAATTTAAGAAAAGCGAAAAGGGAACGCTGTCATTTGTTTGCAAAACTCGAAGTCTACAATGTATCTATTTGAAGAATTATATCTGTTTATTTGTCAAAGTTGTGTAGTTCCATGAGAAACTTACTTTTTTTGAAGGCTTCAAAGTTGCGATAAAGTCATATAACAATTTTAAGTTAAAAATAACACTATACGGGTTTTTGTACTGAAGCCAAGTTAAACCTGTTTGCTACCTTATTCCAATTAAATGGCTTCGACACAATATAAATAAGAGCCATTCTAAAATAAAGCATCCATTAGCACATCAATTAACTCTATGTACATATTGTACCTGGAACCAACCCACATAGCACGTGCGTGTTGGGGTGGACCATAGATATACGTTTATCACGTATACGCAGTGTTGACACATTTTATTAAATTCAGTTTCATGCTAAGCTCTAAAATGTTACTGTCACATCCTAATAAGCGGCTTAGTTTTTGAGATGAATGTGAAATTTGTGAAGAATAATATGAATATGTAAGTCAAAAGAATTAAAAACAATTTTCACACAAAAGCCTGTATGAGTTTATGACAACAAATTGGCAAACAAAATTCTTTGCTGTCTTTTTTAATTTTCCTTTAATAACTATTAGCTTTTATTTTTATATTATATGTTGTTCCTTAAAACTTTAATAAATATTATATTTTTTATTATATTATATTTAGTAAATGCAAGATAGATTAGTTAAACTTATATAAAAGAATTGAATCTACCTTTAAAGTGTCCATCCCTGAGCCACACACTCTGTGTAAATATGTGACTAAGTACTTTATGTGGGAAGGGAAAATGGAAAGATCGAATCGGTTTTCCATTCATGATAGTAGGGGTGTGGGTGCTTCTGACCTGACTGACAATTAGGCCAATCATGAGGAATCACTTGCCATGACAAACGCCCGGGCCACGTGTATACCTACAAATTGATGTATTGTTTTTGGGCCGTCGAGTGCCCCATCAGAAGCCATCAGGGAGTTCTCGCCGAGAAGAGCTCGGCGAGAAGAAGGATCCATGGACAGGTCCTCGGTGCAGGGCACGCAAATTCAACGGAAAATGTACGCCATCCAAATAATTTAGACAATGGCACTCGTGCGCACACGCCATGCCCAGGAAACAGGATGTGGCGTACTCCACTCACACACACATAAACACAGGATACCATCCAAAACCGTCAACACACATACACACTCAGTCAGAAACGCCACCATAAACATACGCACACCACTAAAAACACACACAGACAGACAAAGCCTGACTGAATGCAGAGAAACAGAGGCGACAATTTTAGTGCTATTTCGGTCATCACTTGGCTTTACTGGAGGTCAGAGCCAAAAACGGAACCTATTGGGACCCCGAATGGAAGACATCACTCTGGACAGCCTCCGAACTCCTATCCTCATCTTCATCCTCCTGGCCACCCCATCTCGCCTCAATTTTCCCTTATCGCCCTCCTATTATTTCTTATGCGGTGGTGTGTATCTGCTGTCCAACATATGTTCTCACTTAGATTGCGGTCTTCCTCCTTTGGCTTGTGTCCCAACAGCTGCAACTACACTTGAGGAAAAACAGACATTAAACAAAAGGAACAAAAAGGCAAGGAATTCGGTCACTGAGAGAAATGGCACACGGTTTATAAGTAATAATAATCCCGAATTTAAATAGATCTTATTTTCACCTGTAATATATTTAATACCTAAAAGCGTATGTTAACACAGTTTGTTTTCATAAAACAGTAAGGGATATTTATTAAAATTGGTATATATTTTAGTATTAGTATCTTTTAAAACATTTTTATGACTTTATTCATATGCTTTCAAGATTTTTTTTATGTTTTCAAACATAATACATTGACACAAAGGGCATTAACTAACAAATTCAATAAATAAAAGTAGTCGTGCATTATACATTTTTAACAAGAGATTTTCTCTCAACTCTTAAATTTTTTAAGTTAGGAATAATTACTGTTTAAAACCAGTAGTTTACAATGATTATTAGATTAATTATTCAATTTTTTAACAAATTTTTTATTAGACTCGCGCAAATATAAAAGAATTTAGTTTATTTTACAATAAAAAACAGTCTTAAATATCAGAATAATAAAAGTTTGGACTTAACAATTTAATCCACAGATAATCTAGGTTTATACCACTTAGTTTCTTAGTGTGGGACAACACCGCAGTAGAAAGTACAAAACACACAAACAGCAGAGCGGAAAAACTTCTATTATTATTTGTTTGCCACCTTTCGGAAGAGGAGGTGCAGTATCCCCCCGTTTCCGGTTCGCAAGAGGAATTGCTCTTTCATCGTGTAATTGAGTTTTCACGCAGTACGTGCAAGAAATTTTTAAAACTGATCCAGTGAAAACTTTTGCTCATAATCAAATTGGATGCCCCCGAATGAAGATGGAAGATGCAAAAGGATGCGTATTTTAATTTGAATAACTTGACGGCTACAACATATTGTTGTGCGTGGGAGTCGCTAAATTGTATTAGGCCACGGAAAAGTGCTCAACATAAAAGTTTGCCAGACAAAAGTTCGTGTCGATTGGCGGAATCTAATAGCTCAGCCGTAAATATATTGTTCCTAAGTGAGTGATGTGATATGGAACACAGATTAGCTGCCCCAGGAGTTGGACTGCGAGTTCAAACTTTCCCAGCTATTTAGCCAGTCGGCCAAAGTTGCCTTGATTGATGATGTTTTATGGGATAAGTTCGTAGTGGAACCCTGAGTGTATCAGATGGGGTTTCACAAATTAATTTATAGTTTACGAAATTAATTGAAACTCACTTTTATCTCACTTATTTATTGTAGCGACTGTTAAGATATGCATGAAAGCGTGATAAATATGGGATTAACTCGTAAAGTTAACTATATTGCGACTTTAAATTAGATAATATTAAATCTTAGCTAAATACCTTAGCATAATTATCTTAGATTTTTTATTGAATTTAAGATATGTACACTTAATTATCCTAGCGACTTTTTAAGTATGTGTGATTGCGAGATAAATATGGGAGTAATAGAATGTAAAGTTAACTTTTTGGCGACTTTAAATTATATTATATTAAACTTTACCTAAAAAACGTAAACATAATTATTTTAGAATTTATTTTATTGAGTTATGGATGTGTACACTTAATTATCCTAGCGACTTTTAAAGTATATATGATTACGTGATAAATAAGGGAATAAATGATAATAATGTCTTGTGACTTAAAATTGTATAATGTTTTATAGAAGGTTAATAACACAAAAGGATATAAAACTATTTTATTTACTTAGTTCATCCTAACTATCTTTAAACATGCAAAAATTTTAAATGTATAAATAACATACGACCTTTCAAATCAGATTATATTTGTAGTAAGTTAACTTCTTAGGGTGATATTTTGTGCAAACCCTTAACATTTTTTTTCTTTCTTAATGTACATATTAAAGTTCATTTGTTCTCACTTAATTAACGCAAAACCAGTTGTTCCATCCTAACAGTCTTTTAAACTATCCAATAACACGGTTGTGCCACTTGGTTCCAACAGCTTTCGTTAAGTTTTAATTAAGTTAGAGCCACATTTTGCATACCCCGCAAAGGAGAACCCATTTGCGCTAAGCTCTGATTTTAACTGGGAATTTATCGTCAGCAAATTGCAATGTGCTCACTTGGCATGGCAAATCGCCGAGCTCATTTGGCCAAATCCGCCCCGTTGTTCCAGTGGTCCCACATTCCCACCGGAAGCCGCCGGCACAGTAAATGGAGCAGACTAACTAGAGAAATGCATCAGGCATAAACACACCGCAAAGCCTCTGCCCCCCAACTTTCACCCCCCCTGTGATCCCTGGGCATGCAATTTCCAAATTGCTTTCTCTAAGCTGGGAAACAATTTATGTGTGTAAATTGGCCCCGCCCCCCCTAACACACAATTGCACACACACTCACACTCGGGCCCATTCACCTTTGGCTGCCTGAGCTTCTTACACTAATTACACAAATTGAACACAATTTATTGTTGCCATGGGAGCAGAACTCTCGATGGTTGCCACTGCTGTTGCCGCTGGCGACACGCTCCAAGTGGCAGCAATTTGGTTAATATTAAATAAGTACTTGCATATTAATTATATGCATAATTACACGACCAGACGAGGCGAGCTCTCCTGTTTGGGTGTTTTCTGTAATTAAAACATGCTGACGTTGCGTATACGTAATGTGACGAGTGGCTGAGCTAGCGTGTTCCCAGAAGTGAATTCCATTGGAGCCGCACAAGGGAAACAGATTTATTTTGCATATCCGAATGCCTCCATATTTTGATTTAATTTAAAAATATGTGGTTCGTTGCTGCGCGAAAGTGTCAATTAAAAACTTGGCCTGCGCCTAATGTTGGTTTTTAATTATTAATGGCACTGAAGTCCAAATATTCTTTTTGAATTTCTATGTTTTTGGTATTCTTATTTAAATTTAAATGGTTAGACATATTTGGTACCATATATCAAGTTTATTAGGTATAGTGATTAACCTTGCTGTGGGAAAGTGTCAATTAACATCTTGGCCTGCACCTAATGTTAGCATTAATTATTAATGGCACTGAAGTCCAAATATTCTTTTTGAATTTCTATGTTTTTGTGATTCTTATTTAAGTTGAAATGGTTAAACATATTTGGTATCATATATCAATTTTATTAGGTATTGTGATTTAAGTTACTGTCGGAAAGTGTCATTTAAAAACTTGGCCTGTTTTCAATTATTAAATATACTCTCTTAAGTCCTATTTAAAATTCCTGGTTATAAATATGAATCATATTTAAATTTTGTATGTTTTTTGATTTTTGTTGGTGTGGGAAAATGTAAATTGAAAATGTTTTACAAATCTACAAATCTAGCTACCATTAAGGTTTAGTCTGTTAAATACATTATTATTATTTTACACATAAGAAAATATTAATTTCTTTCTTTTCCAACATATTTTATCTCATTTAGATTTTCGCAAAAGCCAGAACACTTTGTAACATATTACCATATCCGGTTTCCCTATGCCTTCGGCATGCGTTGCCTACTTGTGTGTGTGGGACCTCTGATTTCTGTTTCATACCCAAGCTGATTATGCTCCTGACAGAGTCATTAACAATTTGTTGGGCTGGATTTACTCAGAGATTTTATTTGCATTCCTTTCCGCTTTTCTCCCTCAGTTGTTTTTCCGGAAGCATCATATGAAGCAGCATCAGAAGCAGCAGCAAAATAAGGAACTGTAGCACAACCAAAAGCCGATCAGCAGACCGTACAGCTTTGAGTGCTTTATGGTACCGAAGTGGCATCCCAAGTCCTAACAACTAACTAACAAGAACAACATCGGCTTAGGGCAGCAGGAAGTATCAACACGAGCCAAGGATACAAAGCAATCTATAAAGATGGCCGGCGGAGGCAGGACAGCCGGCAAATACGGTTACTCGGACAACAATTATTACAGTGGTGAGTGGATAAGGATAAAAATATAATGACATTGATGGAGAAACCAAGATAAGACTCAGACCTTAATAGGGGATTTGTGTCGGTCATATTTCGCACTTTGTTTATACGATTATATCCTCACCGCTTCGTAGGATTATTTTGGGTATAATTCTGTTTTATTTTATATAAGCAACAAGAAACCCTCCATTCTTATTCATATGCCCGCTCATTTTTTTTACATAAAGCGACTGATTTATTGTTAGTTTTAGGGGTGTCATGATAGTCATGGAAACCTTTTATTATTATTATTTGCCAAAAAGATCTTAAATTCATGGATTCAACATTATGATTCAACAGAAAACTAAAACAGCCAATGATTTATTGCCTTTTTTGTGTATAGGATAACTAATACATAATGTAAATGTTCATGATTTGAACATTTGTGTCTTATTCGCAAAAATAATCAACTTTATTTTGTTTCTGCTAGAATAAACTCAGCAGAGGAACAACAAATAATTAATAAAACCATTTTTTAATTATAGTATTATGGGTAACAAAAAAGCAATGATAAAATTATCCTGATTCTAAATTCTAAAAAATGTATAAATTAAAGGACTCTGCCTATCATTAGTGTTCCCTTAAAAATATTTAGATACCTTGTTGAAAAGCTTTAAATAATGCAGAATACTTTTTCTGAAAGCTATTATCAAAAAATATCTGTTGATAAATAACACAGATAACCAGATAAAAAATTTTATCATGACTCGAAAAGCAAATAAATATCTATTCTAATTATTAATCCTATCAAATAAACTAAAGGACTCTGCCTATCATCAGTTTGCCCCTCCTCATAATAATACCCTGCTGAAAAGCTTTAAATAATGCAGAATACATTATCTGAGAGCTATTATCAAAAAATATCTGTCGATAAATAATTCATTACTCCCATTCACGTGTCAGCATGCCAGACAGCTTCATCGCTGAAGTAAATGTCCAAATAATACAAAATTATGTTTATTGAAATCTGTCATTATTACTGGTTTATGAATAAATGACAGGCCTCGTTGTTATTTCAGCCCCTAACCACTGTACATTCCGTTCCCAGCAGGCATTTTGGGGTGGCGGATGTTCGGGTGGCTCGTTGTCCGCACTGTCGCCCATTTGGCGGGCTTATGTTGGCCCCCCGTTGGCGTCGTCCTGACGTCCTGCTGATGAAGTCCTGCCGCATGCCTCACCGTAATCAGTGTTGAAAAGCGTGTTTTTATTCGTGTCTTGATTACGTATGTATATTCCGCTTGTCAGGGTTTTTATTACATTTATTTCGGTGCGTTTCTTATACACATGAGTACCTACTCGCATTGGAATTTTCGCCTGCTTGTACATACATTATTTGTTTATGTGTTTGTCGGCTGGGGATTTGTGTGCTATAAATGGTTCCTCGGGTGCTGGGCTCACCCACATATCATTCACGCATGAAAGCAATATAATTCAGTTGCTCTGTGTAATGATGTTTGGCTTGATTTTATCTCGCTATATTGCGCTACGAATGTGAATGAGTTCAGGTGAAGAACCAGCCGAAGGACATTCTGCTGTGTTTGCATAAAGTTTTTGTTTTCTGCTAAGTGAGCTTGAACGCCCACCCGTAGGCTAGATTTCCGCCCATCCCAAGTTCCGAAATTCAACCATCGAGAAGGCTTTTGTACTTTCAAACAAGTTTAGGGTAGTTTTTATTGCCGCAAATTGTGCATTTAATATTTATTAGTCATCAAAAGAAATGCTGAATAAGCCTGGCAATAAAGCAGCAACGACTGTGCTGTCACCTAGAACTGAAACCAAATTATTAAATGAAAATTTAATAAATTGAAGCCAAAAATGTACTTACATTTGGCAAGGCTGGGCATTCACACCAATAATTTTGCTGTCAAAGTGAAACCGCCATTCTTTTTACACAAAAGGTATGAGTTTTCTGGTTTGACAGGAAAATTATTGGGAATGGCGGAAATTTGATAAAGAGATACTCGAAATTTTGTATGCATTCTATTATGATTTTTTAAATACGTCTGAGGGAAGAGATAAAAGTTATGAAAAATGTTATAATATATATGTGTCTTTCCTTACTTTAAAATTGCTCTCCAAATAATAATATTTCTCATAATGCTTTAAATAATATAATATATTTCTTGATTATATACACGCAATTTGCACAGGGCATTTGTCTTATTTCCCTTAATTTAACTGGCCCACTTGGGGAACTCCGTGCTCGCCGGATAGATCACCATTGTCCAAACGGTTCCAGTGAACAGCAGGCAGAAGAAGGACCAAAAGGTTGGCAAAATACCGGCCACAACCATGTACTTTGTTTTCAGACCCGTATAGCCGGATATAATTGCATTAGGTGGAGTGCTCACAGGCAGATGAAAGGCCAGGCTGCAGGCCAGAGCAGCGGGAAAAGTCAATGTGATGGGATGCACTTTGATCGCCAGGGCCTAAACAGTAAATTTATAAAAGAATATTAATAATAAAATGAATAAACATTTGGGATGACTGTCAGAAACTTACCATTTCCGCAAATATGGGAATCAGAATGTTGCAGATGGCCACGTTAGAAGCGAAGGCGGTACAAAATAGTGAAAGTAAAATACACATAGCTACAACTAGGACATGATGCATGTTACCGGCGAATGCCAAGGACTCGCCCAGCATTTTAGCCATTCCACATACCCGGCTGCCCTCGGCCAAAGCAAATCCACCTCCTGCCAAGGAAATATTATAATAATATACTTTCTTTCAGCTTTACTGGTTCTCGATTTAGTGATAATTCTCAGATTGTGAGCCATTGTTTTATAAATAGGTAAAGAATAATATGAATTGTGATGTGATATGTATATTCGTGGGGAATATATGGTTGACAGAAAGACTTACCCAACAGAAAGCACAATCCAAAGGGAGTGTACTTGTGGCAGTAGACCCACGAGAGGCAGGCATCCATAGTTTGTCCTGGGAACGGAGCCTTCCCGCAGCAGTACTTGAAGAAGGTATACTGAGTAGGCAGAGCGAAGAGGAATAGAACCGAGAAAAATACCGGTGGACCACTGCCGATGGCTCTACCAAGAATTAAATAAATTTATTAGTTATTAGATACTCCCCAAAAGACCTAGGGAAACTCACTTAGCATTCAAAAAGTCGGCCCAGCCGGGAAAGAAGCCTGGTCTTCGGGTAAACAGCAGGAAAATCATTAGGATAAAGAGCAGGCCCACTTGAATCTCATGACAGCTCATTGATCCCAACTCCTTCTTGCGCTCCTTGATCACGGCCTTCACAATGTCCTTGCCCTCGGCGCCCTTCTTCACCTCCTGACCAATCTTGCTCTTGGGTCTGAAGAGACCCATGTGGGTAATTTGCAGCGAAAGGTACGTGAGAAAGATCAGCACGATCACCACAAATGGAATGGCGTAGGCCATAAAGATGGGGAAGTCAATCTTCTCCTCGGAGTTCGGAAAGCGCCTATGGGTTTTATAAATAGTATGGCATTATAAAGATCACCGAACTTAACCAAGGATCCTTACGTATCGTATAGGCCCTTGTAGGTCAAGTTTGTGCCCGTTCCGATTAGGGTTCCACATCCACCAATTGATGAGGCATACGCAATTCCAAAATAGAAGGCCATCGAGATGGTGGATGGGTGCGGAGGGCTAAAAGAAAATGGGGATAGTTTATAAAAGATTTTTTATGTGGCAACACTTGACACATACTCGCCTTCCTCCACTGGCTCTTCTTCCTGTGTCTTATAAATGGCAAACATGTTTTGCTAAAAATAAAGATCAGAAACAAAAAGTTTAATAATATTTAATATCTTCTCTTTTATACAAATGAAACTTGACGGCACATAAAGTTAATGATATAATGTTACACCTTTAAAGACGTTTATCCGGCTCGAAGGACCAATAAATACAAGAAAGTATTTTTTGTGAATTCATGGTTTAAAACAATATAATCATCATAGCACATCATTTTAAAAGGATTCAGTCATATTAATAAAAACTCCTTACCGCTTCCATTTCGTTGAGAACGGCTTTGACTATGGGACACATCATGGCGGTGGCCGCAGAGTTCGAGATCCAAAGCGATATGAAGCAAGTCACCATGACCAAGCCAAAGTGCAAACTTTCGAAAGGGAACCATATTAGTTTTATAATTACTTTTGGAAGAACACTTACCGCCTAGGACTGCAACCCACTATAAGAATGGTGGTGAGTGCGATGCGCTGATGGAGGTTGCTGTACTCAATGGCTAGAGCGATCAGTAATCCACCAAGAAACATAACCACAGTGTCACTGAAGTAAAAACTGCACACCTTATCCGAGGGCTAGGAAATGTTAGACATGAAAGATCATATTTTAAGATTAGCAGATTATTACTCTTAAAAATGTTGTAATTATAAAAAAACTTGATAATAAGGAGATCCACTTCTCATATCAAAAGATGAAAGTGTTGTAGTGCTATTCGTTTAAGAAAATCAAACTCAGTTTGTATCTTCTCAAGCACCAGCTTACCAAAATCCCAAACAAGGGTAGAAAAACAATCGGAAACAGAGCTGTCAAATACAGGGGGATGGCCTCCGTTATCCAGAAAAGTGCCATATTGGCCACCAGGAACATGCATATCCATGCCTGCAGGAGGGGGAAAGGAGTTATCCACCATGGATTGTGGTCTGCCTAACTTACTCTTTGACCCTCCATTAAGCCGTAAATCATGAGTGGCAATGTGGCGAGGGGTATGATGATGGTGGCCTTGCCCCTCCAATGGAAACCGCAACAGCGCTTACATGCTTGACCACTTCCCAATCTATCCTCAGCACTGCAATACGAGATCAAAAGTCAATTGTTTTTTAACAAAATGAAGTTGTAAAATCTTACTCGGCCATTTTGTCTGGCTTCTAACACAGTATTACTTTGTATCTTGTATTCAACAAAACAATTTTCACATGGCTCACTCTTGCGCTGAAAGAAGTTTGAATCTAT